GATAAAGATGAGATTCAGATGAATGATTTGGAACATAAGGAGGGAAAAAAAGTAGTCAAACAGAACACTAAGAAGAAAAAAATAATTAAAAAATGAGAATAGAATATGGAGCCTCTAGGACATCTCCATACTTAACCAACATCCGAATCATAGGGCTACTAGAAGGAGAAGAGGAAGAGCAGGAAAAAGAAAACTTATTTGGAAAAATAGAAGAAAATTTTCCTAATTTGGTGAAGGAAATAGACATAAAAGCCCAGGAAGGTCAGAGAGTCCCAAACAAGTTGGACCCAAAGAAGACCACACCAAGACACACCATATTTAAAATGCTAAAGGTTAGCCCTGACTGGTGTGGCTCAGTGGACTGAGTGCTGGCCTGCAAACTAAAGGGTTGCAGGTTCAATTCCTAGTCAGGGCACATGCTTGGGTTGTGGGACAGGTCTTCATTAGGGAGTGTGCAAGAGGCAGTCACACATTGATGTTCCTCTCCTTCTCTTTCTCCCTCCCTCTCCCCTCTGTTAATAAACAAAATGTTTAAAAAATGCTAAAGGTTAAAGATAAAGTAGAAATAAAGAGAGAATCATAAAAACAACAAGAGAAGACTCCTGGCCAAGATATAGGCGTAGGTGGAAACACTGTGCCTCCTTGCACAACCAAAATTAGATACAACAAAGATTTAGAAGCAAAAAACACAACCAGAACAGACAGAAAATTGAACTATACGGAAGTCCGACAACCATTGAACCAGACCAGTAAGAGGGGTGGAGTTGGTGGCCTGTGGAGAGGGATCGTGGCAGGAAAACCCAGTGGCAGGCAGACCCGGGAGTGCAGGCAGTGGGGCTGACCATGGTCACACATTTGTGCGCAGATAAACTAGGCAAAAATGGGCAGCAAGACGGACCGAGCAACCCAGGGCCCCGGCAATGGGAAATAAAGCCTAAAAGCATAGATTGAAAAGGTGCCGGCTTGTGGGAAGCAGTAGAAGGGACTGAAATGGGAGAGAGGGCGGAACAAGTGCCATTGCTCCCTCTCTGACCCTGCCCCCACATATAGTGTCACAACCCAGCCACTGGGTTGCCTCACCATGGTGAACACCGAGGCTCTGCCACTCATATGAAACAGGCACGACCAGACTAAAAATGGAAGAACAAATCAAAAGAACAAATCAACCAAGAACAAATCAAAGCCCCAGAGCCAATACTTTTAAGCGACCAAGAGATAGCCAACCTATCAGATGCACAGTTCAAAACACTGGTGATAGGATGCTCACAGAACTGGTTGATTTTGGTTGCAAATTAGATGAAAAGGTGAAGACTACACTAAGTGAAATGAATGAAAATGCACAGGGATCCATTAGTGATGGAAAGAAAACTGGGACTCAATGGGAGTGGACCAGAAGGAAGAAAGAAACAAGCAAAGAGAAAAGAATAAAGAAACAAGAATTCAAAAAAAGAAATGAGAAGAGGCTTAGGAACCTCCAGGACATCTTTAAACGCTCCAACATCCGAATTATAGGGGTCCCAGAAGGGGAAGAGGAAGAGCAACAAGTGGAAAACTTATTTGAACAAATAATAAATGAGAACTTCCCCAACCTGGCAAAGGCAATAGACTTCCAGGAAATCCAGGAAGCTCAGAGAGTCCCAAAGAAGTTGGACCCAAGGAGGAACACACCAGGGCACATCATCATTACATTAGCCAAGATTAAAATGAAGGCGAGAATCCTAGAAGCAGCAAGAGCTAAGGGGACAGTCACCTACAAAGGAGTTCCCATCAGACTGTCAGCTGATTTCTCAAGAGACCTTACAGGTAAGAAGGGGCTGGAAAGAAGTATTCCAAGTCATGAAAGGCAAGGACCTACATCCAAGATTGCTGTATCCAGCAAAGCTTTCATTTAGAATGGAAGGACAGATAAAGTGCTTCTCAGGTAAGTCGAAGTTCAAGGAGTTCATCATCACCAAGCCCTTACTATGTGAAATATTAAAGGGACTCATCTAAGAAAAAGAAGATAAAAAAGATGAACAGTGAAAGGACAGCAAACTCACAGTTATTAACAGACACACCTAAAACAAAAGCAAACTAAGTAGACAGCTAGATCAGGAGGGGAGCCACAGGAATGGAAATCACACAGAGGGTTAGCAAACGGGAGTGGGAGGAGGAGAAGGGGGAGAAGGTACAGAAAATAAGTAGCATAGATGGTGGGGAGAAAATAGGGGGAGGATGGAGGGCAAGAGTAGTGTAGAAATGTAGAAGCTAAAGAACTTACGACACATGGACATGAACTAAAGTGGTGGGAGGTGGGTGGGAGGGGGTGTGCAGGGTGGAGGGGACTGAAGGGGGGGAATGGGACAATTATAATAGCATAATCAATAAAATATATATATATATATTTTTAAAAGCAGCAAGAGAAAAGCAGAGAGTTACCTACAAAGGAGTTCCCAAAGACTGTCAGCTGACATCTTAAAGGAAACTTTGCAGTCTAGAAGGGACAAAATAAAACTAAAGGAGGTCACTGTCAACAAGCCATTGTTATGTGAAATATTAAAGCGAACATATAAGGAAAAGGTCAAAACTATGAACATTAAAATGGAAAGAAATTCACAATTATCAACAACTGAATCTAAAAACCAAGCAAATAAGCAGAACAGGAACAGAAACAAAGATATGGAGATCATATCATATGGAGGATATGGAGATCACATGAAGGGTTATCAGCTGGGAGGGGGAAGAGAGAACGGGGAAGTCATTCAGGGATTAAGAAGCGTAATTGGTAGGTACATAATAGACAGGGGGGTGTTAAGAACATTATAGGAGGTTGGACTTCCGCCAAGATGGAGGCGTATGTGGAAGCACTGTGCCTTCTCGCACAATCAAGTTTAAAAACAACAAAGTTTTAGCAACAAAAATGCAGCCAAACCACAGAAAATTGAACTATATGGAAGTCTGACAAAAACGCACCCTTCAGCCAAACCGGTAAGAGGGGCAGAGCCAGCAGCAGAGCAGGGTCGGGCAGGAAAGATCCACCGGACTGATCCGGGGGACTGACCCAGGCGCGTGACCCAGGCGCTCCAGCAGTTGTGGGCGGATCCACTGAGGGCTGACCACGGTCATACATTCGAGCGCAGATAAACCGGTGAAGGAGCGAGCGGTGAGACAGACCATGCAGGACCCCGTGGCTGGAAGGGGCAGAGGGGACCGCCATTGTCCCTTTCTGACCCTGCCCCCACCTACAGTGTCACAAACCAGTGACCTGGGTGGCCTCTCTCTGACCCGCCCCCACTTATAGCACCATGAACCAGTGACTTAGGTGGCCCGGCCCTGGTGAACATCAAAGGCTCCGCTCCTCAAACGTAACAGGCACAAACAGATCAAAACATGGCTCAAGAAGAACTCAGAGCCCCAGAGCCTATAAATCTAAGTGATGAAGAAATAGCCAAGCTTTCAGGTGCATAGTTCAAAACACTGGTGATCAGAATGCTCACAGAACTGGTTGATTTTAGTCACAAATTAGAGGAACATATGAAGGCTAAACTAATTGAAATGAATGGAAATGCACAGGAAACCAATAGTGGTGAAAAGGAAACTGGGACTCAAATCAAGGGAGCGGACCAGAAGGAAGAAAAAAATGACCAAACAAAAAAATATGAAGAAACAAGAATTCAAAAAAACGAGGACAGGCTTAGGAACCTCCAGGACATCTTTAAACGCTCCAACATCCAAAGTATAGGGGCACCAGAAGGGGAAGAGGAACAGTCACAAGTGGAAACCTTATTTGAACAAATAAATAAATGAGAACTTCCCCATTCTGGCAAAGGAACTAGACTTCCAGGAAATCCAGGAAGCTCAGAGAGTCCCAAAGAAGTTGGGCCCAAGAAGGAACACACCAAGGCACATCATAATTATATTAGCCAAGATTAAAATGGAGAGAATCCTAGAAGCAGCAAGAGATAAGGGGACAGTCACCTACAAAGGAGTTCCCATCAGACTGTCAGTGGATTTCTCAAAAGAGACCTTACAGGCAAGAAGGGGCTGGAAAGAAGTATTCCAAGTCATGAAAGGCAAGGACCTACAACCAAGATTGCTGTATCCAGCAAAGTTTTCATTTAGAATGGAAGGACAGATAAAGTGCTTCTCAGATAAGATCAGGTTCAAGGAGTTCATCATCACCAAGCCCTTATTATATGAAATTTTAAAGGAACTTACCTAGGAAAAAGAAGATAAAAAATATGAACAGTGAAAGGGCAGCAAACTCACAGTTACTAAGAACCACACCTAAAACAAAAGCAAACTAAGAGGACAGCTAGATCAGGAGCAGAACCATAGAAATGAAGATCACATGGAGGGTTAGCAACAGGGGAGTGGGAGAAGGAGAAGGGGGAGATGATACAGAAAATAAGTAGTGTAGACAGTAGGTAGAAAATGGGGAGGGCAAGAATAGTATGGGAAATATAGAATCTAAAGAACTTGAGACATGTGGTCATAAACTAAAGGGGGGGACTGGTGGGGGAGGGGGTGTGCAGGATGGAAGGGAATGAAGGGGGGAATAGAACAACTGTAGTGGCACAATCAATAAAATATATTTTAAAAAAACATTATAGGAAATGGAGAAGCCAAAGAACTTAATATGCGGGACTCATAGACATAAATTAGGGGATTGCGGGAGGGAAGGAGGTACTGGGCAGAGGGGAACAAAGGAAATATTGGGACAACTGTAATAGCATAATCAAAATATATTGAAAACAGCAATAACAACAAAAAAGAGGAATCTCAACAATGAGGCTCTTTTCCAGAGGAATACAATCTAAACACAAAGATAATTTATGTGTGAAAAGCCTAGTTGGGTCTTTATTATGATATAAGTTACACATTGGGACACTGTGGATCAAGGCATTAAACAGAGCAGAATGGGTAGTATTAAGGAGGGGATTAAAGCTGTTCTCCGAAGCAAGTTTGTGGGAAGAATGTGAGAACATAATATTGAGTGTACTCTCTTTTCTCTGTTGCAGGTTGAGTTGTGTTTAGAGTGCATCGAATGGGCCAAATCAGAGAAAAGAACTTTCTTACGCCAGGCTTTGGAGGTATGTACTTATATTAGTACTGATTTCAGGTCTCTAGGCGTTAGACAGATTATGGGTGTAAGTAACACCATTGGATTAAAAGTATTTTCTGCAACTTTATATTATTATCCAGGCACCCAAAGCTTATTGCTAGTATTTTCAGTCATGACAGTTGCACTGGTTGAAGTTTGGAGACATATCTGCTAACTTAGATGAGTAAGCAGAAATGTCGCCCAAGTTAACAGTCACTGCCCGTAATAGGAGGTACCATGAGCTAGGTAATTTTTTTAGACTGAATTTGATATTATTATCAGGATTTGATATTTAACAGTAACAGTTCGGTGGCTCTCAATCTTTTTGAGTTCTGTCTTTGGCTTTTACCCTCCTTCCCATCAGTCAATACCTTCTCTCTTCCCTAGGCGAGACTGGTGTCTTTGTACTTTGATACGAAGAGATACCAGGAAGCATTGCATTTGGGTAAGTAAGCTGGTAGAAATCAATAAGGCATCCTAGCTGGCTACCTGAATGTATTTTTGAACATGACCACTTTTATTAATAATGTATATTCTTTCTACTTCTTAGATGGGTTGAAGATAGCTTTTATTTACTGAATCTGTCATGGAAAAGTGCCATTTGGAAGTTCTAAGAAACTAACTAGAATTGTTTATTTTTTTATTTATTTAAAACATTAAAAATTTATTTTATTTGAAAAAATTTATGGGGTGACATTGGTTAATAAAGTAATAATAGGTTTTAGGTATACTGTGTGTTCACCACCCCAAGTCAAGTATCCCTCCATCACCATTTATTCCACCATTACCCCCTCCCACCTTCCCCTACCTTTTCTCTCTTTCTCTCTGGCAGTTACCATACTGTTGTCTGTGTCTATGAGGTTTGCTGCTTTTTTTTTGGTGCTTAATTCCTTCACATTTTCACCCAGCTCCCCCTGCTCCCCTGCCTAGAGTTGTCATTCTGTTCTCTGTCTCTGTGAGTCTTTCTTCCTTCAGTTTATTTATTTAGTTCATTAGATTTCACATATAAGTGAAATCGTATGGTGTTTGTCTTTCTATGGCTGGCTTACTTTTTTTTACATGATACCCTCCAGGTCCCTTTTTTTCTATGGCTGAGTAGTATTCCGTTGTATAAATTACCACAGTTTTTTTTTTTTTTTAAATTTTTATTTATTTATCTTTAGAGGGGAAGGAGAGAGGGAGAGAAACATCAATGTATGGTTGCCTCTAGTGCATCCCCTGCAGGGAACTGGCCTTCAGGGAACCTGCCTGCAACCCAGGCATGTGCCCTGACTGGGAATCGAATCGCCATCCTCTGGTTCACAGGCCCGTGCTCAATCCACAGAGCTACACCGGCCAGGGCTTACCACAGCTTTTTTTGTCCACTATCTTCCACCGGGCGCTTAGCTGCTTCCAAATCTTGGCGATTGCAAATAGTGCTACAATGAATATAGGAGTACATATATTCTTTTGAGTCAGTGTTTTGGGTTTTTTCAGGTATAGTCCCAGAAGTGAAATCATTGGGTTGTAAGGCAGGATAAATTTTTAAAAGATCTTTTGTTTATTAATTTTTAGACAGAGGGGAAGGGAGGGATAAAGAGATTGAGAGAAACATCAGTGTGTGGTTGCCTCTCATGCGCCCCCTACTGGAGACCTGGCCCACAACTCAGGCATGTGCCCTGACTGGGAATGGAACCTGTGACCTTTTGGTGTGTAGCCTGGGGCTCAATTCACTGAGCCACACCAGCCAGGGTCCTGAGTGTTCTTATGAGGGTGAGAAAGGGAGATGTTGTGGCACAGGTGGGAAACACGAGGCACGCAGGTTGAATCCCGCCCTCCACCTTATTTTATCTGGCTTGGCACCTTGTTTCTACCTGGTGTCAGTGCCAAGCTCCTTGCCCCTAGTTAAAGAATAATTATATTTATACAGTCTTAAAATTACATTTGGCCCTCTGAAGGCAATCATGAGGCTGATGTGGCCCCTCACTTCCCCGGTGAAAATGCATTTGACACCCTTGTGTTATGGGTTAAGGTATCAAGATTTTGGCCAGAAGGCACAGTCTTCCTTCTGAGACCACACCTTTCCCCTTGCCTTTTCTCTACCTCTTCTCTTCCCTCAGGGTGTGTTACCTTTCCCTTTCTCTCTTCTTAGCTCCAAGGGCCCTTCTTTTGCCTCTGTAACTTTCTAAATAAACTTTCTTTTATAGTTTGGAAATAAAAAGATTATGGCTAAGAAATGGGGCATATTTTCTTTTCTTCTTTAGGTTCTCAGCTGTTGCGGGAGTTGAAAAAGATGGATGACAAAGCCCTTTTGGTGGAAGTACAGCTCTTAGAAAGCAAAACATACCATGCCCTGAGCAACTTGCCGAAAGCTCGAGCTGCCTTAACCTCCGCTCGAACCACAGCAAATGCCATCTACTGCCCCCCTAAATTGCAGGCCACCTTGGATATGCAGTCGGGTAATGTCTGTAGCTACTCACGGGATGTTTTCTTAAAGCTCATCTTATTTCACAGGTGGCAGGCGTGGAGGGTTGGGGAGTAAAATTGGCTGATTTGGCTTGGGCTTCTTCAAAGAAACCAGTTAGAAGGCTATTTCTCTAATTAGCTGCTTCCTTCTATTAACTTTCTATGAATTGCCTAAAATATATTAACAACATGCGTATTCATGATTGAGCAGGCAACTTGATTTTTGAGAGCTGAGACCCTAGAGAGATCTTACTTAAAGGTTTAAAAAGCTGCCCAATTTCTGTCTTTGTTGCTGCTCAGGGTGGTAGCAGCTCTTTCCAGAATGGACCAGCCTACATCTGATGTCACTTGGAGATCTTCGTAAAGTGTATTAGACTTTTCCAAATGGCCTCAGAACAGGGCTAAGAAAAGACCCCCGTCCCCAATTTCAGTTGAGTGTTGTGGATAGCTTCCTGGTGGACTGTGTGAATGTTGGGGCTAGGAGACCATGGGTAGTAGAATACTTTTTCTTGTAGTCAGTAGCTTTTATTTTGGGGGTTGGCAAAAAAATTCATGTTTTTTTCTGTAAAATAAAAGACATTTTTTATTTTCACCAATAATTTTATTGATTTGGGTATTTTGAGTATGTTGGCTATTTCCTGTATGGTAATGTTAATTGTTCTTAATTAATGTCTTGATTTGATTGGTCTCAACGTCCGTGGTGTACCCAACCATGGAGTACTGTCCAGCAAGAAATCTCCAGCATGAAATTTGTAAACCAGTGTTGACATGTTTGGTCAGTCCATGCACTGCTCAAATCTTTTTTGTGTTTCAGTTGCATTTTTACCTTTCTTGAAATAATAAAGCGTAATATGCCAAAAATGTTGCTTATTTTCTTTCATATGGATGGCTACATAGAAATTCACCCATTTGATTAATTTTTTTTTTAGATTTTATTTTTATTTATATTTAGAGAGAGAGGAAGGGAAGGAGAGAAATATCAATGTTTGGTTGCCTGTTTTGTGCCTCCAGGTGGGGACTTGGCTGGCAACCCAGGCATGTGCCCTGACTGGTAATTGAACCAGTGACACTTTGGTTCGCAGCCTGTGTGCTCAATTCACTGAACTGCAACACCCTGGGCTGATGATTTTTTTTGAAATGCACGCTGATATGACAGCTGTTACAATATGGTCTAAAAAAAATTGTTTCAAATAAAGTTAAGACAACTACGCACTTAATTGGGCCATCTTATGGAAAAAACCAAACTTGTTGGCCAACCCAGTAGTCACAGTTTATTATTATTGGAGGAGTGCTGGGGTTGAAGACAGAAGACTGGCTTCAAAGCTCTTACCTCTGTAGCCTTAGTTTCCACGCACGTCTGCCCTACTTGCCTCTTGGGTATTGCGTTAAGTGGCACGTTTTGTCATTCAGGGGTCAAGAGCATGTAGCTCTAGACTCCCAGGTTGAAATTTTGGTTCTGCCAAATTCTGGTTACTTGATCTTTGGGCAAGTTACCTAAGTTGTCTGTAGGTTGTACCTCTTCATAGGATTGTGGTGGGGAGTAAATGATACGATGAATGTGAAGCTTTAATCAGTACTTAGTGTTGACCTTTCTTTAACCCCTGCTCTTTTATTATGCCCGTCCTTCACGGTCAAGAGATGAACTTGCATCTGCATTCTCAGAGGAAATAAAGCCATTTTTAGGTAAACCCTCTCTTTTCTCCCCTCTCCAGAATTCGTATCACTACCCACTTTTCCCCCTTACCAAGAGCGATCCTTTTGCCTCTCCTTCCGTTCCACCGTAGTCTGTGGTCTGCTTCTCCACTCGGATCTTCCTCTAGTTTCTGAACCACCCGAGCTGAAAAGTACAGTCTTTTCCCTTTTTATTTATTTTTAAAATTAAAAAAAAACCAAAAAACTATTTTACTTAATTTTTAAAATTTTATTTATCTTTAGAGGGGAAGGAGAGAGGGAGAGAACTATCAATGTATGGTTGTCTCTCATGCGTCCCCCACTGGGAACTGGCCTGCAACCCAGGCATGTGCCCTGACTGGGAATCGAACCGCGATTCTTTGGTTCGCAGGCCTGCGCTCAATCCACTGAGCTACACCAGCCAGGTCCTTCCTCTTTTTAAATTGCTATCTTCTTTTCTGTCAAGATTCTTGAAAAAGTTGAGAGTGTCCTTTCTTGTGTATTGACTCCTTGAAAGAAATCAGTAACTCCCCTATAACCTTTGACTGGGTAGGGTAGGGATGTAGGATTTTGACCCTGTTGAATATTCTAGGCCTTTTTTTTTAAAAACACCACTGTAGGTTTCTTGGACATTGCTGTCTCTCTGGTTTTCTTCCCTTGATGATCAATTAGCCTTGGTCACACTTTGCTATTTCCTCTTCCTTCTGACTTTGTTCCTCAGTGTTTTTTCCTTAGTTCTTTTCTCTTCCTCTTCTCCCCGTTTTCTGTCTAATCCCATACTCTCCATGGCTTTAGCTGCCACATAAAACTAATGGTCTCCTTCTGTTAATCTCCAGAACGTCCTCTCCTAAATTCCAGATCCAGATGTTCAGCTGTATGATGGACACGCCCCCCTAAATGTCCCTTAGGCATCTCAGTCTCAGCATACTAAAAACCAGAATTATCTAACCTCTGTCCCCTCAACTGTTCTTTTTCTGCATCTACTATTTTAGTTAATGGTATTTTATTTTTATGAGATTTTATGTTATTTTTTAAAGGATGTTATTTATTTTTTAGAGAGAGGGGAAGGAAGGTAGAAAGGGAAAGAAACATCATTGTGCTAGAGAAACATCGATTGGTTGCCTCTCGCGCACCCCCAATCAGGGACCTGGCACACAACCCAGTCTTGTGCCCTGACCAGGAATCAAACCAGCAATCTTTTGGTCTGTGAGAGGATACCCAGCCTACTGAGCTACACCAGTCAGGGCTGATCATGTAACTTCTTTGTTTAAAATGCTCCAATGGTTCCTTGTAATCCTCAGGCTAAATTATACTTTAACATGACATTCAAAAGGAAGGCATTCTTTCCTTTTGATTCCCATCTCTTTTTCATTTCTAGTGATCAAATGATTTCATGTGTTCTTGCTTCTGAGCCTTTATGTATTTTGTCATCTCTGCTTCAAAATTCTCTTCTTCATCTTGTCCCCTTGGCAAACTCTTACACATCCTTCCAGACATAGCTCTGATGCCTTTCTGTTAACACTCTTCACTGCCTTGCTCTGAGACTTCCTTTTCAAGGTATATCTCTTCGGACATGTTATGATACTGATCTCATTTCTGTTTTGGTGATCATCTTTTCCACTATGAGACTGATTTTCTTCAGGGCCTCATTCATATTTATTTCCTCTATAGTAGCTATATGAGTGCTCGGCATGGTAGGCTCTTGTTAATATTGGTGTTGAATGAGTGACAGTCTTTTTATAAACAGTCAACCACGTCAACCATGATGCTCATGGTCACAGTGTGACACTTATTTACTAATGTATTGGGGAAATAGTGTACCCATCTTGGGGCAGGGGGCTTATTTTACTATTTTTCCCCTAACTTTCTTAGTTTGGCTCTGGTCTGTTCTCCTCTAGCTGTGGACTGGGAAATATGGGAAAGTGGAGATTCGTCTCATCTAGTTTAGCAGGGTTGTTTGTTGGCTATCTTTAGGGAGCTCTCCTTTGCTGCAGCGAAGGGTGGGTTCTCTCCAGGCCTCTGCATTTAAGAATGGGAGAAGGAGGATCTGATTCCTTCAGGGTCAGAGTGGGAGGTCTTTTGGTAGGATCAAAGTATTGGGGTGTGTCACTTACCACTCACTAACTCGCTGTTAAGTTAGAAGTTCCACCTTGGTGTGCCAGACACACAGGCTTGTGACAGGCAGGTTAGGAGTGCGCTGGAACATTGCTCTCTTGGAGTCACGTGTAAGCGGTTTTGTCTTTGTACTCCAGTGTGCTGAATGCTTTCTACACGCACCTTGGTGTGAAAAATGTTGGGAAGCCCTGTGGTAAATAAATACATGGGGCTGAGGAATATAACCTCATAAGGGGCAGAGGGAGAGTTAAAACTGGTAAATAGACTCTTAGGGCTTGCCTTAGATGTTCCCAAGCTAGAGAGACTAATTTTCAAATTATCTCAAGTCATAGTATGGGTTGGATATAATAGCAGGTTCAATCAAAGTTTGGCTTATTGGAAGCATCCCAGCTTCTAAAAAGTGCAATGTGCAATTATTTACTTATTAAAAGATTTTATTTATTTACTTTTAGAGGGGAGGGAAAGGAGAAAGAGAGGGAGAGAAACATCATGTGTGAGAGATACATCAATTGATTGCCTCTCATACACCCCAACCAGGTATTTGGCCTGCAGCCCAGGCATATGCCCTGACTGGGAATTGAACCGGTGACTTTTTGGTTCACAGGCCAGTGCTTAATCCACTGAGCCACACCAGCCATTGCACTGTGTGCATTTAAATTTATGGATTTGGCATTATGTGAAATCTATACTGACTGCGTCTAGGCAAAAGCACATCCATAAATGGCAAGTATCTGAAATGAGAATATAAGAGGTTGGATGTTTTTTTCTCCCATGAAAGCTGCTTACATATAAAAATGTCAAGCTTAGAAAAGCTATCTTAATGAAATGGTTAATGTTATTAGAACAGGTCATTTAGGTAGTGCAGGGATGTTGGGGTCAACTTCCTGACCTGTGACAGTGAAGTGATGGAAGGTAAACCTGTCCTTTTCTAGTGGCTCCACAAGACAGGACTGCAGTAAGGGTGAGAAGCATGGGGCAAGATGTTACAGTGTACAGTTTTTAGGATCTTCTTTGAGTTGAATCTTAACTCCTTCAGAATTTATATTGGCAAGATGACATTGAACTGGGAGGCCAAACACCTGGGTTCTAATCTCAGCTTTGACATTAGCTGGCAGTGACTTGGGGCAGGTCCTTTATCCTTTTCTGACCTCATGAATAAGTAGATGGGGTTGGGATAGATTTCTGAGGCCCTTCCCAGCCATAATCTTACATGGTTTTCTTGTTTCCTGGGTTCTTACTCCTTATGTTTCAATACACAGGCATTATCCATGCAGCAGAGGAGAAGGACTGGAAAACTGCATACTCATATTTTTATGAGGCATTTGAGGGTTACGACTCCATTGATAGCCCCAAGGCCATCACATCTCTGAAGTACATGTTGCTGTGCAAAATCATGCTCAACACGTAGGTGCACGTTACTCTGGGATATGAGAATTCAGATTCTTCAGCTAAGTTTTCTGCTCTGTCAGAGATGGCTTGGGCGGGGAGGTTGGCTAGTCACAAGCCACAGCAGCTGCTTCCTGGGCTGGTTGAAGAGTGGGAAGGCGGACGGTGATCTGGAGCACTTTTACTTGCTAGCCTTTCAGAATTGAGGAGACGGAGTTTAGAATTATGCTTCCCAGCCCCTCGTGAGGGGTTCTCCTCATCCTGCAATTATCCTGTCCAGAGGGTTGCTGAGCTTAGGACCGAGGGCCAGAAAACAGCTTACAGACCGGTACCAGCTGACCGGGCCGACCCAGAGTGGGGGTGGGTTAAGGGAGAGGTTTAAAAAAGGGGGAAACAGCAAGTATGACAGATCCTTTTATAAAAAGTAATACAGAATTTATCTGCACTTTTGGGGGAATAAATGAGGTACTCATTGGGATTCTTTTTGGATATTATATTGGGATTTTGATTTACACTTATCATTCTGCCTGTTGGTTCAACTACTTTTGGTAGGTTAGTGTGGCTTTCTTTTTATGTCGGGAGTTTGTCTACTCCTCAGTGCTGAGCTTTGTCCTAGAGTACAGAAATCCTGGCTTCTGCAGTGTGAGGGGTATATGGGTTTAGGAGTGAGGGCTGATTCTCAGTGGATTTCGGAGAAAAAGAAATTCACCTAAACTTACAAGCATACTGTTCTGGAGCAATTGACCAAGTTTTTTTTTTTTTTTTTCTAGCCCAGAAGATGTCCAGGCTCTGGTGAGCGGGAAGCTTGCACTTCGCTATGCCGGGAGGCAGGTAGGGAATGCCGGGACCACAGTTCCCATCTCTGGTCACTCTGAGGCCAGCGTGCAGTCAGACGTGATGCTCCCTGAGGCCAGTGCTCTTTAGGTCTCCATTGTACATTTTTATTCCCCACCTTTCCCTTAAGCCCATTCAGTATGTTTCCTATACTATTAAATTCTTGTCCTAAAAGTGTTTGGCGCTCTTATGGACATCTGGTGGATTTTGAGGGCCTTATAGAACTGAATTTTAGCATTTGCATCGAGCTAGGTTGCATTTTCCTCTGATCAGGAAATTTATCTACCATGGAGCCTTGTCTGTGAATTGGAAATGCGCAGAATATGAGATCTTGGTTTCTCTGAATTGAAGCCTGGTTAAGGTCCGGTGCAAATATGCTTTATGGAGATCAGATCTCTTGGTGCAGAAATGAGGTTTCGATGACTTGCCTGAGTGCTTCTCATGTCAGTACCCACCCTTCCACTCATGCCCTGAGTTTCAGATATGGTGTAAGAAGAGGCTTTCAATGTTTGGGGGCCCTTTTGTGGTACCTTTTGTACCTGAGTAGCTATGGGTATGACCCGTGTAAAGATGATGTCTCAGATGTGTACACCATGTCTGCCTTGTACTTCACTTAAATGTCACTACAAAAGTAAAAGTAATCTTTGTAGATTCAAATGCAGTTTGTCTCTAAACAATGGACCCATTGGCTGTCTTACCGTATTCTTTTTAAAGATTTTGTTTATTTATTTTTAAAGTGGAGGAAAGGGAGGGAGAAAGAAAGGGAGAGAAACATCCATCAGTTGCCTCTCACATGCCCCCAACTGGGACCTGGCCTGCAACCCAGGCATGTGCCCTGACTGGGAATCAAACCAGCAACCTTTCAGTGTGCAGGCCAGCGCTCGATCCACTGAGCTGCACCAGCCAGGGTGGTCATAAGATGATTTCTTCCTTCTCCACAAGTGGTCCTGATAGGCATTATATCAGAAAAAGTTTCAGAGCAGTTTCTAGTTTTGATCAAAAGAACACTGGGTATTGCTAAAGTGGGAGGTTTACTACCCTGTCTAGAAGTAGAGTTGAGTAGACGGGCTAAGAGAGGTCAAGTGTCCAGGACAAGGTCAGGTAACTAGTAGAGGTGGAGCCAGACTTTGAACTTGGGTTATCTTGGTCTCAGTTCATACTTTTCTCATGACATTTGTCCTGTCTATAGAACAAATGCTGGGGAGAAACTACACTTTGCACTCTTTTTAGAGTCTGCTGTATAAGACACACCATTTTTATTTAAGTACTTAGGCTGGTATAAGAGGAGCACCTTTTGGTGCTTTGTACGTTTAAAACATATTTATTTATTTTTAGAGAGGGGGGATGGGAAGGAGAGGGAGAGAAACATTAATGTACAGGAGAAACATCAGTTGGCTGCCTCTTGCTTGTCCCCCACTGGGGGACCTGGCCCACAGCCCAGGCATGTGCTCTGACTGGGAGTGGAACTGGTGACCTTTCAGCTTGGAGGAAGAGGCCTAACCCACGGAGCCACACCAGTCAGGGCTGGTGCTGTGTACCCTGATGACAGCTTTTAAGCAGGAGTCAGACTGTCCTAAAAAGATAAATGTTATCGGTTTCTTGTTGACTTGAGGAGACTTGATAGCTTGGTTAGGTGCCTTTTATAACTAGGTTAGAGGGTACCCTCAACCATTAATTGTACAATCACTATGGGGTTTTAACATACAGGGTTTATATGTATGGTTTTGATGCCTCAGCCCTAATGAAAGTAGACCTCAGTCTGTGCTCTGTAACAAACCTAGCAGAAACGGTGTTGCCAAAGCACAGGTGTGATCAGGTCCAAGGGCGGGAAGGAGTCTTGTTAAGACGTGGGAAAAGAAATCACAGTTCTCTGGTCATTCTTGTCATCTTTGAAGAATGCTCTGCTGGGGTCTATTTTTTTGGAAAACTTTTTAATTCTTAGTATTTTTAATTCATTTCAGATTTCACAGGGAAACTGGTTGGCCCGTAGTGGTATTCCTTAAAAAAAATTTTTTTTTTAATTTACTGACTCGAAAGAGAAAGAAACATTGATTTGCTGTTCCACTTACGCATTCATTGCTTGATTCTTGTATGTGCTCTGACTGGGCTCGATCCTGCTACCTTGGTGTGTTGGGATGAAGCTCTGACAGCCACCTGAGCCACCTGGCCAGGGCCACTGTGGTATTCTTGTGGCTTTTCTTCTCACACTTCTGAAGAGTGTTGTGGGGCAGGCTCTTCTTGCAGCCAGTTGTTGGGATGTAGCATACTGCTTATTAGACCCGTTTGGGGTGGGGTGTGGGTGTGCGGAAGATACCACTTTCATTGTTTTTCCTATTCATAGACAGAAGCGTTAAAATGTGTGGCCCAGGCTAGCAAGAACAGATCACTGGCGGATTTTGAAAAGGTAAGCATGAAATTGGGTTGGTAGGGAATGGGTGGAGGAGAGGGGCATTTAAGTACTTTAAAAAAAACCTGTTTTTAACTAATTATAGTTTTACAAAAAGCAAACATAGTATAGAATTATCCCATATACCATTCACCCAGTTTTCTCAATTGGTTATATCCTAATATGCATATCAGAACCAAGAGATAGTTAAGCAAAAATTACATTGTACAAAAGTGCTTATATACATTACTCTTTCGGTCTCAAAAATTCTTTTTGTCGCCCTTTTTTCACTGTCATTTTTCATGACACACCTATTATCTTCATTTAATGGTTGAGGGATCTGGGATTTAAAGAGGCTTCCTGAAGCCACACCGCTCATACGTGTCGGGGTCGGACTCCAGGCCTTGCACGTGTTCTGCATGGTGTGGTCCTAGCTAATTCTTTGGCTCCAGAAATGCCAGGTCTGCTTCTCCTCTGTGGACAAAAGAAGTCTTGATGTGTACATCCAAGTGTGGGCCAAAAGGCCCTTCCTCAGGAAGACAGCCTAGGCTTGCTTTGCCTCTGGAGCCTTTTACTCAGTGTTTAATTCAGGAAGGCTCGGAACAGGGGAAAAGCCTGTCTAAGCGGTGAGGTGAGGCTGACCTGTTCTTTTCTGAACCTCTGTCTTCTCGTCTGACTGTAATGGTCAACTTACTAAAAACAAGCCTAGATCTCGGAAGAAAACCTGACTGTGGGTGGAGACTGCCTGATTCATCATCTTTCTGAAGGTTTCTTGCCGATTTCACTTTCGTTGGCATGGTTTCTTAGCGTCCTTTAACACTTCAGAGCACAGCCAACATGAGCTGGGCTACTGAGACCATTACTACAGGTAAATCAATCACATACATGAATAAACAGTCTAGATCATTGTATCCCAAAGCGTAGGGTGTTTGATGGAACACTTCTGTTGGGGCTTCCTCGGGAAACGGTCTGTGATCAGACAGCTGGGGAACACTAGGGCTGCACTGGTGTTTTCCTAGAAAGGCGCCGACTGCAGAGCCGCACTGTGCTGGCTGATGTTGCTTGTAAAACTCCAAGAGCTCTCTGTGGAGCTCAGCGTTTCTTATTATTTAACCCGAGACCCCCCCCCCCCACACACACACAGAGACCCTGTTTGTTCTGTGGAATATATGAAGAGAACTGCGCATGTAGTGAGTTTGGCTGACAGACTGAGCCTCTCTTGGGGCTTCCCTGGTGTGAGCTGTCAGCATGAAGCTTTTGGACAGAAAGATGGTGCCTTGGGTGGCTTCATCTTTTAGTTCTTGATGTTCCCTTTCTTCTGCCTTCTGTCATGGCTGTTCAGCGTTCCCCCCCGCCGGCTTCCCAGAACTGCAGTCGCTCATGCAGTTCAAGGGGCCAGCGGACTGCTTAGGGAACTGGCAGAGTAGCATGGCTCTCAAGTGCACCTGGGTGCCGACCTCTGCGGCCTGCTCTTTTGGCAGGCGCTGACAGATTACCGGGCAGAGCTCCGGGATGACCCAATCATCAGCACGCACTTGGCCAAGCTGTATGACAATTTACTGGAGCAGAACCTGATCCGAGTCATTGAGCCTTTTTCCCGGGTACAGGTAAGAGCCCTCTTGGGGACTCCAGCTCTTCTCCGGAGGGGCGGGGGTTTCAGGCCAGGCATCCCCCCTGCATCCCACAGCCATCCACGGTAGGAGGTGCTGGTGGGCAGGGGGTGGGCAAGGGGCTGCCAGGAGTTTGGGATTCTTGACAGGGGACAGGGGTCAGGGAGAGGGATGCCAGAGGGTGAGGCGGTTGAGATCGCCCCTGCTTGTGTTCAGCGCAGCCTCCTCCTCGCTTTTGTGGTCACCACCCATGTGGTCGGTGTTTTTTTTTCTGGGCGTGTGGGATGGGAGTGTGTTTACTGCCCGGGGTGACGAAGGCAGATGAGTAGAGCATGAGAGACCTGAGCCCGGCCACGGAGAGTCTGGCCCTGTGGAAACCCTCCGTATATTAGAGGCCAAGATACAACTTTCAGTGTTGGTGTCTCTTCACTTTCCTTTTAGATTGAACACATATCTAGCCTCATCAGACTCTCCAAGGTAAGGAGTCCCTGAGCGTGTCTTGGGGGTGGCGGGGAAGGGGTGTGTGGAGGCGCTGGTGTTTATGCTCAGTGGGCCTTGGAGAAGAGCTCCCAGGCTTCTCAGTGGGGAAGGGACGCTGGGCGCGGAGCTCGAGCTGCACTGTTGCTGTTTTGTTTCAGTCCCTCTGCCCTGAGACCCTTTTAGACAAGGCGCTCATGTCGGTGTGATGTCTGACTAGCGGGTGCTGGTCCCTTTAATCAAGTGCTTTGATTTTAGGCCGATGTGGAAAGGAAATTATCACAGATGATTCTTGACAAGAAATTTCATGGTGAGTAACAGTCACACAGGCAAGGGGGCCGGTGGTGCTGACAAGTGGTCGAAGGGGAGTCGTGTTCTTGTTAACTCGGGAGATGTTCCCTTTGTTTCACCTGGCGGTTTCCTGGGATCCTTGCCTGTTGTACCCTGGGGTGAGAGTGCCTAATAAACACACACTAGTGGAGCCGCGAGATGCGCTGTTTCCCTCCTTTCTGGAGAAATGAGGCAGCTAGGGAGTGGGCGACTCTCAAAATGCTCTTGTGTCTAATCCCTTCTTTTACATGGGTTGCCCTTGTGTTTCCTGCAGGGATCTTGGACCAGGGGGAGGGTGTCTTGATTATTTTCGATGAACCCCCAGTAGATAAGACTTACGAAGCTGCTCTGGAAACAATTCAGAACATGAGTAAAGTAGTGGATTCTCTCTACAACAAAGCCAAGAAACTGACATAGGTGAGTGCTGGCTCCTGGACCAGGCCGGGCGGCGCCGTCTGCGGCCTGTCGGGACTGAAAGCCGCCTGCTGGCCGCTGAGCTCCCCGATTAGCTCCCCGATTGACGCTGCTCTGTCTTCTCTTACAGAGTTGGATCTGTAGCGGTCCTTTGGAGAGTGTGTGTGGCGGGAGAGTGAAACCTTTGGGGAAAATGCTAGGAGATTCGTTTTTTTTTTTTGTTCTACTTTTCGCTCGGAAAGTTTTTAAATCCTCATTTGGTGCATCTGTATTCCAACCAATAGGTGTGCCAGTTTTCATGTAATCTTTACTGGCCCAACTTGGGAGTGGGGACATTGCTTAAAAAAAAAAGAAAAAGAAAAAAAAGGATATTCTAAATAAAAGGAAAAAGGCTTACACTACCTACAGCTGTGCTCTCTGCCTCCTGGGCGAGGGCCGCCCGCCGGGCGCCCCACCAGCCGCAGGGGCTCCTGACCCACCTGCTGGGCTCCGCCTCTCTTCCTCTTCAGAATTGGGTGTTTGCCTAACCATCGAAGCAACGACTTTTTATTCTGTTTGTACTGAACCAAAACAACTGTGTATAGACTGCTAGTTTCTTTTTTTATTTGAAATGAGGCGTTTTGGTGTTCTTTCCCCTGTCATACGGCCTGTCCACCCAACTTTCCTCAACAATGGCCCCAGCAGACTGGCCGAAGTCCTGCCGCCGCTGCAGCGCAGCTCCACGCCGACCTGTGCAGGAACGGGGAGGAGGCCAGGAGCTGGTGTCCGCCAGGCCACACGGGGGCGGCGTGGGCCCTCCAGGGGCCTGCTGTGCATGCGGCCCTTTTTAACACAGTGAACTAGATTAGACGTCGGCGTTTTAATTGCCCCTCTCCTCTGCTCTTCCCCCCTTCCCCCTCTCTACCAGGAGACCCTCACAGGTCTCCCTCCCTTCCTCCTGCCCCCTGTGGGGAAGTCAGGCTGTCCGACATCCATTAGCTTCTCTCCCTGTCACGCTCCTCCTCTCCCCTGCTGGCAGATGGGTTTGCTCCTTTTTTAAACAGTGAGTATTGGGAATGAGACTTGGGAGTGGGTTTTTTTTTTAAGTCTTGTTGGGTTTTTGAGCAGCCTCATGTCCCCTTCCCAGGGAGCTTTATTTACCTCTTAGAAATGGAGGGATGGGGGGCACTGGGTGGCAGCCATTCGTTACCACGAAACGACAAGGCGTCGCGCTCGGCGCCGGTTCCTTCCTCCTCTCGTCTCTGCCCTTCTCCCGCCTCCTCCTCCTTGCTGGCCTCTTTCACCTTTCCTCCCCTTTCTCAGAGTATCCTTCCAGGTTTCGGAATAAATTTATATTTTGTAAAAGGATTTTGTTGTACTGGGTTTGGCATCCTCACTGAATCTGACTGCCTTTTATTTTCCTCTCCAAAATCAAGTTTTTGTTCTCAGCGTCTCTCCCCATCATGTCCAGTCACTGTTTTGGTTTTGGCACCATCACTATCAAATGTACAAACGGTTCTTGCTAACCAACACCAGGTATATCTGATGTTCAGATGAGTTCCAATAAAAACATTTTTTTTTTCAAAAAGTGTCCTTTCTTGAGTGCTGGGGGGCTTCCGTCCATGTAGGCAGCTGTGTGTAGCCCTCTGGGCTGGCCAAAGCTGTACTGTCTGGTTCGCTTCACGGGAGACCTTTAGATGCGGAGTAAAGCGGAGGGCGGGGGATGAGTCCTGCGGTGGGAAATGGTGCTCGGGTACCTTCCTGGTTTTCTGGGGCAGTGGGGGTTTGGGCCAGTACTCACATGCAGTACTCTGAGCCTGCTTCCGTCTACAGGACGAGGGCGGCGCTTCTGTGGTAGGTGGTTGCGGTTGTATGTGGTTGCGTTTCCATTTGGAATCTTCAGAAGCAATGTTGCCACACTGCCCTTCAGACCCGTGAATGGTTCTTCTGCAGGGCTCTGGGGCCACTGGTAGGGAGGGCTGAGCTCCAGCTGCCAACTCCCCTTCAGTATGAGCAGTGCTGCTGTTCTCTCTTTTCAGGATTGTATCTGTAGAGCGTAACTTGCAGGAAAAATTTTGCTTCAATGAAGGACTTGTAAAGATTCCAAGGGTACCTATGGAGCTGGAGCGCAGGGAAGGGGTTTCCCATGCCGAGGGCAGCTCCAACGAGCTCAGTCTGACGGTGGTGGCAGCCCTGCTGTCTGCTCGCTCCCATTGCAGGTCTGATGACGTCCTGTAGACCTCCTCTGTCCAGTGGGTAGCCCACGAGCCACATGTGGCTGTCGAAGCTCTTGAAATGCAGCTGGTTTGAACCGGGATGCCTTGCGGGTGTAAACCCAGGCCTGACTTTGAAGACTTAATACGAAAAGAATGTAAAATAGCTCAACCTAATTTTTATGTGCTGGAATATTCTGAGCATTATTGGGTTAAATAAAATATATTATTATTAAAATTCACCTGTGTCTGTTTTTAATGTGGCTACTAGAAAACACTCATGTGACTTGCATTTGGCTCATGCAGCAGGTGTTTTTTGGACGGTGCTGCTCCAGACTTTCAGGGTGGCTTCCCAAACTGCAGACTTCAAATAGACTGGGTCTAGGCACAGCTGAGAGGGTGGCCTGGGCCTGGCTCACTCACCTCGGGACCCTTCGGGGTGCCAGGGCTGGCTTCTGTGTCAATAAGATCTTGATGTTGGCGGCAAAGGCTGAGGCCTCTGGACCCCGTGTCTCAGCAACCCTGCTGCTGGTAGGGTTATGTAATCGGTGCTGTGCCGAAGGGCCACTAGGGGCTGCTCTGTGATCCCTGGAAGAACAAAGCGCAACTTGCTCAGGAGCTAGGGCCCAGCCTTGCTTTATTTGGAACCCCTTCTGGAAGCTAGTTGGCTAGGTCCCTGGCCTCCCTCGCGGTGCTAGGGGAAGGGGCTGGGCGGAGGGCAGAGACTCTCCCGTGATACACAGTAGCCCAGCTCAGCAGTGGGGATGACAAGCTGGCTGGACTGGCCTGCAGCTTGAGATAGGCTATAGGATAAATAGGGTGATTGATGGGGGCGGGATTTGGAGATCTTCCCAGCAGTTCTTTGGAAGAAAACAGCTCTGCATCATTCAGCTGGGCCTGCCTTCTGGGTCCCTGATCCTGCCATTTCTGGCAGATTACTGCCCGCCCTTCCTCACCTTGCAGTTGGAGCTGTAATAGAAGCTTGGGGATGGGGGGTGGGGGTGGCAGGCTAAGTGAGCAGAGCTGTGTGGTGCCTTGAGACAGGCAGCGCAAGCACGGCTTGGGTGGATGGGTTCCAGACAGCCTCTCCCCTCACAACAGCTAGCAGGCTGGTGACGCTATCCCATTCATGCTCTGTTGCAAATATGACTTTGTCTTTGACAAGTGTGAGGAAGTTGGGGTAATTTTGCCAAGAGCTCTTGAAGGTGCTGGGGAAAAGCTGGCCAGACAAAGGCAAGAGAGGACACCAGAGTGTGGCCGGGCTGGAAAAGGTCCAGACAAATGCATGCTTCCTTGGTTTGGAAAAGGGAGTGGGGTGGAAGGGAGCTTGGCACTATCCACCGTGAACTGGAATATCTATAATTAAATTTGTAGGGACAGCTAACTAGGTGTGTCCCGATGGTTCTAAGGGGCAGATTACAGCCATGGTAACAGGCTTACTGCACTAGCTGGGTAGCTTACATGGTTAGAACATCATCCTGAGACACAAAGGTTGTGGGTTCGATTCCCAGTCAGGGCACACATAAGAATCAACCAAGGAATTTATAAATAAGTGGAACAACAAATCCACGTTTCAAATCAATAAACAATTATTAAAAGAAAAATCTAAGCATATTTTGGGACATGAGAAGCACTTAACCTTTGTATAACACCGGAATGTAGAAAAGGCAATGTGGAAACGGCCAACTCAGGAACTGGGCTTCTCCACTAGGGGCTGGAGATAAAAAGGTTGGGATTCAGCTTTGACTAAGTCATTGGGCCAAAGGACCTGAAGGAAATTTCTTAGAGCTTCTGACTATAGAAAATGGTTGATTAGACCTCCATTTGAAGGGGGGGGGGGCTTGTACATTGAGGAAAATTCAGAGGTAGGACATTGAGCTACAGCGTCTGTCTTTATCTTCTAAATTAACAGGTTTTTGTGGATGTTCCTGAAGAGCTGTGGGAAGAAGTAGCCCCTTGGGTACAGAGCAATCATTTTATATTATATCATCACCAAGGAACCTAAAGCTTTCAATTGCCACTACTGATGGAGAGATCTCTGAGCAGTACATAGCAAATTCTAGTACTTTCTGACGTGGCACTGCTCTGCATGATACCAGATTTCTGTTCTGCTCAGGCCCGCCGTCAGAGCTGGCCCAGGTTGACCGGCTGGGGTGGGCCTGGGAGTTGAACTGGATGTCCTCATTTCCGCGTTGCCACTTCCTTGCCCCTTGGTCCATAGGTGATCATTCGAATTAAGATGCATTTCCCAAGTCTGTGGTCAAATCTGAATCAATCTCCAGAACCGAACTAAAAGAATAACAAATGAAGGACTGGATTCTTGTCTGTGAGGGCAGCAGTTCCTAACTGAACCAGAATTTCACTCGACATTTAAAAAATTTGACCTGTACCAAGTCTTCAAATTATACATTTTTAGCATGAAAAACATTTAAACCAGTGGATCAGAGGCTAGTTGGGGAAGCAGTTGCTTCAGTTTTACTACAAGAAATAAGAGGGCGAGTGGAAATTTCGAGGTCACATTTGTGATGGGCTTAGTACTGGCTCACCTCAAGCGGGGGCCCGGCAGGGGCCTCAGGTTGGTGTGGTGGGATAGCCAGTTACTGTTTGTGGAAGAGCCCGGAACCGCCTATTCCTCTTCAGCCTGGATTTCTAAGACCCACCTGGCCGTGAGCCTGGGGTGGGGGAACGGAGGTCCCGGACGCGAAGGAACTAAAACCGATGGGACAGTCCGTTCCGGGTGCTCGTGGTACTCAAAGCGGCCTCAGCATAGGTTTCACCTCTCCGGGCCTTCCTCCACGAGCTCCTTCCCAGCTTTTTCGGGGGACAAAGATGTTAAATGGAAGGAGGGAGCTCGGGGCCGAGGTCCCCTTACGAGAACCCATGCGTGGGTTCTCGTAAGGCTAGGTAGCCACTTCTGCCCGGGTTGACCCCGCGTCGCCCGGGCGGGGACTAGGCGGAGAGCGCCCCCACGGCCCGCAGCTGCGGGCGCCGCGGCGGGAACAAAGGCAGCACGTGTCTGGGCGGGGCGGCGGGCCGGGTCCGTCTCCGGCCCCGCCCCGGCGTTTCCCCACCGGCCAGAGCTCTCTTGCTACACGGTTGCTACAGCTGCTGCTGCTGCTGCTGCCGCTGCCGTAGCGGCGGCACCGAGCGGGAGGCGAGCTGTTCTGGAGGGGACCGCCCCGGGGGCGGGGCTGGCGCCGCGAGTCCCCACCGCCTCGGGAGCCCGGGTCCTCCCTGGGGCGCGGCGAGTACAGGCGCCTCGGGCTCGCGACCGCATCCCTGCAGGCACCGCGCGCCGCTCGTGTTGGGGACGGAGGCAGCCCCGGCTCCCGGGCAACACCAGGCCCGTCCGCGCCGGCGCGTGGGCCGCGCGCGCTCCCGAAAGGGAGAGGTGCGCGCCGGAGCGAGAGCGCGGCGGCGGCGGCGGCGGCGAAGGCGGCCGAGCGGGGGGCGGGGCCGCGGCGCCTGCAGAACCTTGGACAGTAGCTCCGGAGCCGCCGCCACCGCCGAGCGCGAGCCCCGCCGAGCCCCGCCGAGCGCCGGGACCGAGGCGCGCATTGCGGAGGGCGCCGAGCGCAGGAGCCGTCGCCTGTTGGGTAAGCCTGCTGCCTCGGGGAGCCAAGGCCAGGGTCGGGGCCGCGCGCGGGGTCGAGGCGGGGGTTTTCTCCTGGGGAGTCCGGAGCTCAGCGGTAGGGGCGGGCGGGGGTGCCGCAGCGGAGGCGGCCCGGCTGTGGCGTGGGGGCGCGGGCGGGGACCGGGAGCCCGGGGAAGGCTCGAGTAGGGGGCCGGGGGTCAGGTCTAGAGGGTCCACGAGGCCGTGGGGAGTAGCGAGACGCGAGCCCCGCCTGGTGCTGAGAACCATCTTGTTTTCCACGCAGATCCGAAGGGGCAGCACGCTTCCCCGGGAGCGCCCTCTCATCCCCCCGGAGGCCGCCGCGGGCTCGGTGAGCTGTCTTTTCCCTCGGGCCGGCAGGCTGGGCGCGCAGGAGCGCGGGCCCCCGCCCGGCGCGCAGCGGCACCATGGGCACGGTGCTGTCCCTGTCCCCCAGCTACCGCAAGGCCACGCTGTTTGAGGATGGCGCCGCCACGGTGGGCCACTACACGGCCGTCCAGAATAGCAAGAATGCCAAGGACAAGAACCTGAAGCGGCACTCCATCATCTCCGTGCTGCCTTGGAAGAGGATCGTGGCTGTCTCGGCCAAGAAGAAAAACTCCAAGAAGGTGCAGCCCAACGGCAGCTACCAGAACAACATCACGCACCTCAACAATGAGAACCTGAAGAAGTCGCTGTCGTGCGCCAACCTGTCCACCTTCGCCCAGCCCCCACCGGCCCAGCCGCCTGCGCCTCCTGCCAGCCAGCTGTCGGGCTCCCAGACCGGGGTCTCCTCCTCTGTCAAGAAGGCCCCGCACCCCGCCGTCACCTCCGCAGGGACGCCCAAACGTGTCATCGTCCAAGCGTCCACCAGCGAGCTGCTGCGCTGCCTGGGCGAGTTTCTCTGCCGCCGGTGCTACCGCTTGAAGCACCTGTCCCCCACGGACCCTGTGCTCTGGCTGCGCAGCGTGGACCGCTCGCTGCTTCTGCAGGGCTGGCAGGATCAGGGCTTCATCACGCCGGCCAACGTGGTCTTCCTCTACATGCTCTGCAGGGACGTGATCTCCTCCGAGGTGGGCTCCGACCATGAGCTCCAGGCCGTGCTGCTGACCTGCCTGTACCTCTCCTACTCCTACATGGGCAACGAGATCTCTTACCCGCTCAAGCCTTTCCTGGTGGAGAGCTGCAAGGAGGCCTTTTGGGACAGATGCCTGTCCGTCATCAACCTCATGAGCTCCAAGATGCTGCAGATCAATGCTGACCCACACTACTTCACACAGGTGTTCTCCGACTTGAAGAACGAGAGTGGTCAGGAAGACAAGAAGCGGCTCCTCCTGGGGCTGGACCGGTGAGCCCTGTGGCCGACATCATGGCTCAAGGATTCAGTTCACTTACAGACACTTAGTATTCAACAAACCAGATTTTATGTACCATATGTGTCCAGCAAAGCCACCGAGGGCCACTCCCAGCCCACCTTCTCTCCTCGGGATTTTCTCCAGCCCTGCCAAGAACTCGGGGCACTTTTGAACTCCTGAACCTTGTGGAAACCCAGGAGATGTATTCAGAGCCACCCAGGTCCCTGACCTTCTACTTTGGGGGATTCAAAGGACTGACTTGCGTTTGCCACCTGAGCCCTTGCTGGACCAGGGCAGGTGAGGCTGTCTGCTGCTCCCTGTACTGGGGCTGGGGAGGTGCCTCTAGCGTGTTGGCCCAGGGAGGGATTGGCGCTCCTGGTTGGGGGCCCTTTTCTGGCTCCTGCTTTGAGTTGTCTCTTCCCCCAGAGGAGCAGCCACCCTGACCGAGCCGCAGGTGGGGTTGCGAGGCAAGATGCTTCCCTAATCCAGGAGCTGCCGGCCTGGTGCAAAGATCCCATCCTGTTGTTTGGCTGCCCACGGCCCTGGTTTGCTCTTTTTTCTTTTTTTAGGGAGAAGGGCTTTCCTTTAGTGGAGACACAGAGCTTGCCTCTCAGTCCCCTGTCCCACTCCCAACCCTGTTGGCAATGAGCTGGTTTGACTCATTAAGTTCTTTTTTTTGGGTCCCAGCTAAAGAGGTGGGGTGAAGCTGGGGGCCACTCCTTTCCTGCTGAGTGTTTCGTTTGGATAATGCAGCTTAGTCACCCCGTGGTGAAGGCCAGGACTGCTGCAGGTGTCTGTCATCAGCTGCTCGCCTTGTGGGGGTGCCGTGCCTGAGACCGAGCCAAGGCCCGCACAGCGCCTAAGGCCTCTTCTTGTGGGTGCAAGTAATTGTTCTGCAGAGCTCGGGAGTGGGGTGTGGTAATGATATACCCCTGCCCCCACCCGTAGCCCTTTTAATTCAAAGCTGTTTCCAGACAGTTCTGAAGACGAAGCCTTGCCCCGCAAGGCCGAGTGAGACAGCTGGATCTCGGAGACAATTACCAGACAGGAGTGGGACTGCTCATTGCTTTGGAAGCCTCTGATTCTGCAGCTGAGCATTTGCAGCTGCTGGTTTTGGTTTCCACTGTGGTCGCTGTGAAAACACATGATGGTACTTAATCAATTTTCTTTCTAATTCTCCCAGATTGGTGGCTTGGGACGTGGGAGAGGACTCAGAGAAGGGAGTGAAGTGAGTCTTCTTCCACAGCCCATCATTCTGGTTTTGGGGAACAAAGACCAGTGTGAAGGCTACAGAGAATTCTCTCTTCCCAGTTCCCCAGGGAGTGCTGGAATGGGGGGCTTAGGGGGAGGCCGAGGGTCATTTTACATAGGATTAGGTCCCAGGTGGCTGCGATTTTTTCAGCACAAGCACTACTGAAATTAACATAAAAAGGAACAAGCTGTGAAATTGAGGACCCGGTTCAAGCGGCCTGGAGCAGAGCCTGCCGCCCGCCGCCCGCCGCAGCCAGTGGTATGCCCCCGCGGAAGGAAGAGGGCCTGCCCCCTGCGTGCAGGAGAGCACGGGCCACAGCTGCGCCGCGAGGCCCACGCCGGGCCATTCCCGGGGCTGCCGGCTAATCCGACGCAGGCCTGCCTGGAGCGACCTGCAGCTGCCGGCACGGACTTCACTGCGGCGCCTCTTCTCTGCTGGGTTGTCACACGTCGTGTCTGTTCAGACCCTGTCACCACGTGTGACCTGAGTGAGGTAGGAGGCCCAGTGGGGCAGAGGGCCCTGGTAGCGTGGAAGAGGGTGGTTTGGTGCCGAGTCTCCAGAGGAGGGGCACGTGTTTGCAGTCACTTGTTCGGCTGGCTGAACGTGGCCTGAAACTGGGGGGTTAAGTTGCATCCACAGGATTGCAGTTTTGTGTGTTTCCTTCTCTTTCTCCATATTTATTTTTTTATGTTTTTGGAGGCGGTGCAAATTTCAGGCGGTGGTTGGGGACTAAGGAAATAACTCTAGTTCCACCAATGTGAATGGGGCCTGTTGTGTTCTCCTCCCTCCCCTTGCACTGGTCATCAGTATTGTGTAAAGGAACTGATACACTTGAGTGTGCAAGCAATGAACCCATTTGACATGCTGCTATGAAGACTACTTTTAGAACAACAAAAAAAAAAAAAAGAAAAAAAAGAAAAAACTAACCAACAAAAAAAAAACCCCTTTATTCTTTAACTGTTGCTTTTACAGTGATATTGTGCATGCGGACCAGGAACATTTTGTGTCTTAAGAAAAATAATCTTAGAACAGATGGCTGTGAAAATTACACCCGTGCACAGCACGAGTCACAGGAATAATAGTTCAGGATTTGGTTTTTCTCTTTCTTGTAAAGCTGGAGGGTTGATATATTCTTTCCATGCAGTTATTAGAATTTAGTTTCGTTCCAACAGTTGTTAAACTTGCAATGAAAAAAAAATGTGCCATTTTTTTCACTCGGAAATTTTCATAGCTGTATATTTGAAACTGCTAATTACGCAACGTGCGATGTATGTTGTTTTTTAGTGCAATTTCTTCTGTAGCTATTCTTTGACCAAACTGTGGGTATTGTTGATATTAATTTATATTTGTCTCATTTTGTATGTATGTGTAGTGTGTTTGTAAGTGTGTGTGGTTTATAATCTGACAAGGTCATGGAGCTCAGTTTGGCTGTAATTTAATTCCCCTTCCCTTATTTTTATTTATTTTTGTACCGTGCTGATTAAATAAAATGCACTGACCATCCATTACATGGACCTCTTTGTGGGCACATCATTCATGAGCAGGCCGGGGGCCCCTTTTATAAATGACTCCTGCACCCTGAACATAATTGGATTTGCGTTATGGGGGAGGGGCGAGGGCTTAACGAGCAGAGTGCGCCGATGTTGAGGTGATTAAGAAAGAAGCTCGAGTTGAGCCAACTCGGGTTTAGCTGCCCGGGGTGGGGCAGGAGCGCTCCCTCGGCCGGCCAGGCCCAGGCGTGCCCTGGAGAAGGCCAGGCTGGCCGACTGCTGCTGGGGCCCCGGGTCTTGACGCCGTTTGTGGAGTTCGGCACCAAGGCTGCTGCCCCCGTGTCCTGGGATGGGCTCTGCCCAGTGCCTACTGCCTGGAGGTGCCCAGACCAGCAGGAGTAGTGTCCTTGAGGCCCAGCCCTAGAGCTTCCAGAGAAGCCTGTGAGGGACGGGCCCCCACTCTGGCTGGACAGGCATTCCTCAGGCACACTGGGTTCAGTCCTAGACCAGTATAATCAAGGGGGTGTTGCACTCGAACGAGTCATAATCTCTCTGCTGGTGGAGGGTCTTACCTTCAGTGTTAAAAATGCTACACTCGAGAGGGAAAAACGAAAAGAAATGGTACACTTGTGAGCGCAACGAAGGGAGCCAACGAAGTGAGGTAGGCCTGTAGTGGTCCACGGGCCCACCCCCTCACGCTGACAGCCCCAGCCTCTCTGTCCCTTCCGGGCGGCACCTGTGGGTTGGAGCTGCCCTGGGCACCAGGAAGGCGGTTCTGCTCAGGTGGCAACTTGGGAGCTGTCAGCCCTGTGACCAGGACCCCTCGCTCTGCTGAGGGCACGTCCCGTGGTCCGAGTCACCGCGCACCGTGCTGCACGTTCTCTCCCGCTGACTCTGAGCGGCTGCAGGGCCGTGGGTTCTAGGCCCGGCCTGGCCTGCCTGCAGCTTCCCACTCCGGGAAGTCCTGATTTCTCCATCACTCGCTCGTGCTCTTGCCACCCCCAACCAGCTGTCCATCACTCAGACCTCTTCCCCAGCTGCAGCTGCAGGAGCCTGAGCCTTTCCTTTATGAATACGTGCGGGAGTTCGGGAGTTTGGGTAACCACCACAGCTCTGGACTTGGAGCCCAGCACACAGGCCTCAGAGCGGCGGGAGGGGAGGTCTGGACTGCACTCCGCCGCCGCCCCCACCTGCCCTCACTCCTTCCCGCGGCCGCCGCCTCAGGCTCAGGTAAGCGACCTCCCACGTATTTGTGCTCAGTGCTCCCTTCCGTCCTCCGGGTCACGGCTGACTGTGTACCAGCTAAAATGTCACAGTTATAGGTGAAGTTTTCCATTACAGAAAAGCAGAACACCTTTAAAAATAAGATTTAATGCTTTATTGCTCTTGATGGTAAATCAAAATATGCTTTAGAAATAGTTAATTTAATGGAAAATAGGAATATATGCACCAAACCATAAACTGCACTTAATTAAATCAAGAGAAACACTTCATTGCACACAGTCTGTGTCCTGGTCTCCCCTCGGTACCCTGGCAGCGTCGCCGTGGGATTGCCCCAGGTCCCCGACCCTCCTTCAGTTGCCACCCTGACTTCTCTTAGGACGTCACAAAGACGTGCTTGTGACAGCTGGTGGCCCTACGGCCCTCAGCTGGGGGCCACAGGCAATGTTGAAAAGCGGGAGGAAGGACCCCCAAACCCTCCTCCTCCTCCCCAGCCCCCGGAAGGCACTCATTTGGCATGTTCCATCTTGGTGTGTCTAAAACATATGTGTGCGTGTGTCTAGTATGAAGCAACAAGTTGGGGGGAATGTGGAGTGGAGAGGCAAGGTTCCAGTTATGATGGTTCACCTAGTGTCAAGGTGACTGGCAAAACCGCGAGCGTCACCAGCCTGGGTGGGCGGCGCCACCGTGCGGGCAGCCGTGCGGGCGGCTGACCCGGCACTGAGAGCCAGCGGGTTTCCAAGGACAGGGCGCCAGCAGGGCTCCTCGTTGCAAGCTGCACACAGCGCGCACGTTCGCCGGCCCTGGGAGGCAGGGGCCGGGTGCAAACAGGACCCCCCACCGCTGGGCCCACCTGGGGTCAGAGAGGTGGCCGGCCCCGCACGGAGGCTGCACTCAGGCATGCGGCGTGTTTTGTGGGGTCAGGGTGACAGGACGAGAGCGTGCGGGGGGAGGGGGAGTAGGGGCGTCCGCGTGGCAGAAAGCGAAGAAACCCTCGCGTGTCCCTTTCGCACCCTGCTGGGCTCCTCCCGAGGCGAGGCTCCCCTCAGCCCCTCCACACACAGGGTGCCCGGCGCCTCTTCTTTCTAGGCTCCTGGCAGGGCGGCCCGGGCGGCCCAGAGGTTCACGGTGTCCCCTTCAGCCGAGACACGGGAGGAGGGTGGTCACAGGAAGGCATCTGAAGGCGTGTGCTGGGCAGAGACTGGCAGGACGGCGCGGCTCTCCTGGCATGAAGTCTGTGTGCCCGGCAGCCAGGGGCTGTGGGGGGGTGGGCACCCTGGCCTGGCCTGCAGCGCCAGGACCCCACGCTCTGTTGGCTGGCTCTCCGCGTCCCAAGGTTCCCGCGTGCTCCCGTCCCGTTCGTAGCTCTCCGCACGAGTGAGACGCCCAGACCCACGCCCCCTGCAACTCCATTTTCTCATTTGTTTCCCGACATGAACGTGGACACAGGGGACACTGCATCTGATCAGCAACCTTGCAAACTGCGGGAGTAAGACGGCCGCAGGCCCGGCTGCACGGCTGGGATGCCCCTCGGAGCAGCCCCACTGCCCTCTCCCAGAGAGGCAGCCCGGGGCGGTCCTGGGCTGAGGGGCTGGTCTCGCAGGTGAACCTGCTCACCTGGTGGCTTTGGCTGGCTGCTGGGGAAACAAGATCCACTGAGGGGCTGAGAAGCTCCCTGCGCCAGGTCACTTGGGGGATGAGGAGTGGCAGGATGGGCTCATGGAGAGAGCAGGGCTACCTTCCCAGCTCATCTCCACCCACCTCCCTGGAGGAACACGTCTTTGGTTGGGACAACTCTGCCCTGGCCCCCTCCCCCACCCTGCAGGGTCAGCAGCTGGTCACTGGGTCAAGGCACAGTGATGTGACCTGGCCAGTCCAGGGAGGCCTTCGCCCACCAAAGGCTCCGTCAAGTTGCCTCTGAGGTGAGATGTGGTCAGGGCTCTGGGACAGGTCATCGGGGGTCTTTGGTTTGTTGACTGGGGACTGTGGACAGTTGGGGCAGGGGAAGATGGAGACCAAGCACAGAAAGCCAGGAAGACCTCAGGGGAGGGGCCTGAGAGGAGGCAGCGAGGGCCCCCTCCCCGAGCAGGGGCCTTGTGAGCTGATTTCTAGCGGGCAGTAGCAGGGGTCAGCAATTAGACCAGGACCTGTGAGGCTACGTGGCAGGCCCCCGGTGAGGGTCAGTTCCCGGGCACGCTGAGGATGAAGCCCGAGCGGTTCTTGGTGAAGTCGGGCTGCGGCTGGTTGAGCCGTGTCTCCACAGACACAGTGCACTTCTTCCCGTGGAGGCTGCACTGCACGGGGTTGGTGACGTTGACTTGCAGGTGGCGCTTCTCACTAGAAGAATCGAAGAGAAAAAGACAGGCGGGCAGTCAGTAGGCAGCCAGAGTGGGGAGTTCCTAGGGCCCGTCATTGGCCAAGCTCCTGTGGGCCTCACGGGGGTCCCAGGGGACATGGGTGCCCTAGGGGGTGTGGGCACTGCAGGACTCGGCGGAGGGCTTGAGAAGCCCCAGGAGGGGTGAGGACAGGGAAGGCGGTGCTGGGCGGCAGCCTCCAACCTGAGTCTCGGGGAGCAGAGGGGCTGGAGTTCCAGCCTTGGGCCGCCGCCGGGCTCCAGAGAAGCCTGCAGAGCTGGACCAGAGCGGGGGAGATGCGGTGGAGCCACAGACACCAAGCCCCAGCCTGAGGCCTGAGTCCCGTGGACATCAGACGTCAGCAGGGGGGCTTGTCGTGAGGGGCCTGGGATTCTGAGGCACAATTATTTTTCGGCTGTCTTTGGTGCAACAGGGAGCCCTGGGAGGCTCGGTGACCGGGGTGAAGGGAGACTTCCCTGCACGCCCCCTGACCAGAGACAGGTCCTCGGGGAGTCCTGCCTGCCCCTGCCTGCCACAGGGACCAGCGGTTCCAACTGAGCCTGACTTGTTTCCCCAGGTGCCTCTCAAGACTCCAGAGCTCCAGGCGGCTCTGCTGGATCCCACGGCTGGGATGCGAGGTCGGCCCCATGTGAAGCCCTGGGGCCTGCACCTGCTGCCACCTGAAGGGGTGCAGCCAGGGCTCCGAGAGGGGTCAGTGCCCGGGAGGCTTTGGCGGAGGTTGGTGTGGCTTCCAGCACCTGTGCAGTAGAAGCAGCCTCCTGTTCTGCAGCTCCTCACACCACCCAAATGCACTGCAGAAGCGGCTTATTTTAAGACTTGAGAAAATTAACGCAATAGGCTGGCACCTCGGCTGCTCACACGCGCCGGCACAGCCCCACACGGCGCCCGCAGCGCTCCCAGTGCTGGGCGGGGGGAGGAGGGCTCGACGGCGTGGGGCTCTGGACCGGGCGCACCCGCTCTGCTCTGTGTGTGTGGACGCCTTCGTGTCTCTGGGGACGCGACTGGGGCATGGACAGGCTGGCCCGCCAATGCCCGCGGGGCTCCCTGGACCACTGTTGCTCGTGATGAACACCGAATGCCAAGTGTCCGCACCACAGGGGGCAGGCAGGCAGGCGGAGGCCGGCGGGCGCTTGCTCCTGCCCAGCCTGGCGTTGCTCCCCTGGGCCCCAGTGAGCAGGAGGCCCTGCCGAGGCCCCAGGGGCCTGGGAGGCACAGTGTTGATACCTTCTCCCACCCAGACTCGAAGGCAACCTGTGCTGGCCGCCAGACAGCACTCAGATGGTGGGGCTGCGGGCTGCAAGCACCTGCCCCAGGGGGCCTGGCGGGGTTCTCAGCCGGTGCCCCACCTGCCTTCTCATAAAACATGCCGCAGAGGGAGAATGGGGCAGAGGCCACGGTCATCAGGTGCGGCACTAGGGATGCAGCACTGACGTCTAGTCAGCTACGGCTAAAGCCTTGGCTGAGACTGCTATTTTTAACCAGACTTAAGCCGTAAAAATAGCAGAGCCCATCGGAGGCGGGGGCTGAGGCGCTCCTCCGTTCCTGCGGGAGCTGGGCCCGGGTGCGGGGGCCCTGAGGTCCTCGGGCCAGATGCACACGAGCACTGCTGCCCGGCCTGCAGCCAGACCCACCTCCAGGCCCTCGCTGCCCGCCCTCCCGGCCTGTACTTTCTTTGCTGGGTCCCAAGGTCAGGCAGCCTCCCCACCTCCTTGGTCAGCCCCGTAGGGCTTCTGGGTCGCCCGTGCTGGGCTGGGGCCTGTGGAAGCCTCCTGACCCTGGCAGAGGCCTTCCCTTGCTGCCGCCTCCCGGGGGGCTGTGGGTCCCTTTGGGGCCCTGTGGGGGACAGGCTCTGCCTCCCACTTCCCGCGCCTTCCCTTCCTTGTCCCCTGAGCCTGGTACACAGGTGTGCGCACAGCGGGTTCCAGAACCACCCTCGGGCCCAAAGTCCCAGGGAAGGGTTCTAGAAAAGGCCACGTTCCAAGTCAGCGTGACAAATCGGAGAAAGAAAACATGAATCACTACCCCGCCCCCATGTCCACACAATCAGAACATGCTCCTTTCGGTCTAGTTCTTCTGACTTGAGACCCCTCATAGCCACGAGTTCAGGTTGGGTGAGCACGGCCCCCGACGCCCCCCTCGCTCCTGCTTTCAGCCCGTGCATCCCTAAAAGCTGCGCTCCACCCTTGGTGCAGGGTTTGGGCTGGTGGGAAAGTGAGCAGCGGCAAACGGCTGTTGCAGAATGGCACTCCAGGATGGCAATGGCACAACTTCACCTGGAAAGGGAGCCCCCGGGTGGGGTTTGCAGATTCCAAAAGCACCGAGGGACGCCTGCCCCAGACTGCTCTCCCCACCCCACCCTGGGGACAGCACCTCTGCCCCTCAGTGAGTGCGGGGGAGCGGGCACTGCCTGGGGGGCAGAGTGAAGGCAGAGGGGTCCTCTGGGACACCCTAGCCCACAGACACAAGTAACTATCATTGATTTGTTAAAAGTATTAAAAAATTGCCCTGGCTGGTGTAGCTCAGTGGGTTGAATGTAGGCCTGTGAACCAAAGGATCAGGGTTTGATTCCCAGTTGCAACCTGGGTTGCAGGCCAGTTCCCAGCAGGGGATGCACAGGAGGCAACCACACATTGATATTTCCCTCCCTCTCTCCTTCCCTTCCCCTCTAAAGATAAATAAAATGTTAAAAAAGGTATTACAAAATTTCAGTATTATATTAGTTTTAGGTGCACGACAAAGTGATTAGACGTTTGTATCTCACGAAGTGAGCCCTCAGGCCGTCCAGTACCCATGTGACACAACCCGTATCATTACATGTCACTGACTACACCGATCCCCTCGGCTGTACTTCCGTCCCCAGGACTGTCTGTCACTGGCGACGTGCTTCTCAGTCCCTTCACCTTTCTCACCCGGCCCCCAACCCCCTTCCACCTGGCAACCATCAGTTTTTTCTCAGCATCTATGAGTTTGTTTCTGTTTTGCTAATTTTCCTTTTTAGATTCCGCATGAGTGAAATCATACAGTATTTGTCTTTCTCTGACTCATTTCATTTAGCACGGTACCCTCCAGGTCCATGCGTGTTGTTATCATGGCAAGATTTCACTCTCTCTCTCTTTTTTTTTTATTATGGCCGAGTGCTACCCCGGTGTAGAGATACTGTATGCCTTCCTTGCCCACTCGTCCGTCGGTGGGCACTGAGGCCGCTCCCGTATCTTGGCTGTTGTGAATAATGCTACAGAGAACCTGGATCTTTGGGAACTAGTGTTTCAAATTTCTTTGGCTAAATATCCTGAAGTGGAACTGCTGAGTCCTATGGTGGTTGTGTGTTTAATTTCCTCAGGAACTGCCATTGTGTTTCCTGCGGCTGCACCAGTTTACGGTCACTGATGATGGCCACTCAGACAGGTGCAAGGTGGTGTCGCACTGTGGCTTTAATCTGCGTCCCCTGATGACTACTGATGTTGAACATCTTTTCATATGTCTCTTGGCCACCTGTGTGTCTTCTTGGGAGAAATGTCTATTCAGGTTTTTTGAGTGTTTTCTAACAGAATTGTTTTTTTGATGGTCAGTTGTATGATTTTATGTCTTTTTGGATATTAATCCCCTATTGAATGTATCATTGATGAATATTGACTTCCATTGAGTAGACTGTCTTTCTGTTTTGTTCATGGTTTCCTTTGCTGTGCAGAAACGTTTTGGTTTGATGTAGTCCTACTTATTTATTTTTTCTTTTTCACTCCTTGCCTCAAGAGACAGATCCAAAAAGAAATATTTCTAAGAGCGATGTCACAGAGTTTACTGCCTGTGTTTTCTCTTAGGAGTTTTATATTTTCAGGTCTTATACTTAAGTCTTTAATCCACTTTGAGTTTATTCCTTTGCGTGATGTAAGACAGTAATACCTGCAAAAGAATGAAACTGGATTTGTCTAGTTTTCCCAACACCATTGAATGAATAGATTGTCTTTACCCCGTTTTATATTCTTGGCTTCTTTGTTATAGAATAATTGACAATATAAGCACGGGTTTATTTCTGGGCTCCATTCTGTTCCATTGGTCTTTGTGTCTATTTTTATGCCAGTACTATGCTGTTCTGATTACTATAGTCTTGCAGTATAGTTTGGTATTGAGTAGTATGATACCTCCAACTTTGTTCTTCTTTCTCAAGATGGGTTTGGTTATTTAAAGTCTTTTGTGAAAAATGCTATTGGTGTTTTGACATGGAGTGCATTGAATCTGTACATTGCTTTCGGTAGTAGGGACATTTTTTAATGATGTTAGTTTTTTCTATCCACAATCACAGTATATGCTTCCATTCATTTGTATCTTCTTCAGTTTATTTCTTTAGTGTCTTACAGTTTTCTGAGTACAGGTCTTTTACCTCCTTGGTTAAATTTATTCCTAGGTATTTTAGTCTTTTTCATGCAAATGTAAATGGAATTTTTTTTTTAGATTTTACTTATTTTTAGAGAGGAAGGGAAGGAGAGAAGGAGAGAAATATCAATGTATGGTTGCCTCTCGTGAGTCCCCTGCTGGGAACTGGCCTGCAACCCAGGCATGTGCCCTGACTGGGAATCGAACTGCGATTATGTGGTTTGCAGGCCTGCCCTCAAACCACTGAGCTACACCAGCCAGGGTTAAAATGGAATTATTTTTAAAATTTCTCTTTCTGGTAGTTTGTTATTGGTATATAAAAGTGCAACCAGTTTCTGAATATAAATTTTGTATTCTGCTTTATTGAACTCACTTATTAGTTCTACTAACTGGGCTTTTTGTTGGTGGATTCTTTAGGGTTCTCTCCACGTAGTATGTCATCTGCAAATAACAGTTTTACCTCTTCCTTTCCAATATGAATGCCTTTTATTTCTTTTCCTTCTCTGATTTCTGTGGCTAGGACTTCCAATAGCATGTTAAATAAAAGTGGTGAAAGTGGATATCCTTGTCTTCTTCCTGATCTTAAAGGGG